CTGTGAGGTGTGATGCCATGGTACTCTATCCAGGGGGACAGCTTGAGGCTTTGTCTCAAAAAATAAATAAATAAATAAATAAATAAACTAAAATAATGTTAAAAAAAAGAAAAAGAAAAAACCCATGGGAAAATGTGCAAGGATACATGTTCAATACAGTTCTTCATAGGTTTGTTTGTGGCAGCAAAGAATTAGCGCTGCTGTTTGTGGGCAGCGTGCATAAATTACAGCACAGCTGCAAACCTCAGAAGTACCAGATATTTACAAAGGGCTGAGTTTGGAATACTGGTCACAACATATTGTACAGTAAAAAGTGGGCTTAGGGGCCATATGTTTAGTATGATTTCCTTATTGTGAGCACAATACGACTGTGAGACATGCATGTGGAGATGTCTGTGGACGTCAGCACACCCACCCCGATGTTGCCTCCACTGAAGACTCTGCATGTGGTATCATGGGAGATTTCATTGTGTCGTATTTTTTTCTTTCTGCTTCCTATTTCTCTGAGATAAGCCCGGTTGCCATGGAGATGTTGCTGTTGTCAAGGTGCTGATTGGCCAGTATGAGGATGTGGGGATGTTTTTTCAGACACTCCAGTGGGCACAGACCTTGGCCACACTGCAGAGCCTGGCAGCAGCATGGAGAGGGCCAGGGCTGATCGTTGGGCCCGCACTTTTGTCCAGCTGATGGCTGAGAGGAAGCCCCGGGATGTCTGGGCTCTGCTTCCTCAGGAGAGCCTGGTTGCAGGGTGCCTGGATGGTGATGGTCTCCAGTACCGGCTGAAGGGCCTCTCCAGGTGCGGCCAAGGCCTGGGGGGCCAGGGAGAGGGAGGGGGCTCAGGTGCTTCTCTATTGGTCCTTGAGTACCCCTGGAAGGCTGGAGGAGCTGGGCCTGAGAGGGGAGGGCTGTCAGCCAGAACTGGGGTACCTGTCTGGCCTGGTCGGGTCCCCTAGATGGGTGAGTGGGGCTGATGCTCAGCCTCCTTCCTGGGAAATGCTGTCAGCATGGCGGAGCTGAGCCCCAGCCTGGTGGTGCTGACACTGTGGTCCTGGTAGGGTGACATGGCTGCCTCCACAGAGGGATTGGTTTCATTCACTTTGGCTCTCCTGGCCAGCACTGCCCTCAGACACACAGCTCATCTCCTGTTCCCATGGCATTGCTATGGCTTCAGAACATCAGTGCTGAGGGCAGGAGCTGGAATTCACAGGTGCCTGTGGTCGCTGTCAGGCCCTGTGCTGCAGAGGGGCCTGACAGTCCAGCCAGGAGGTGGACCTGCCTCACACGGAAGCTGAGGGGTGCAGGGTGTTTGGCCTGAGAGAGGGTGATTGTCCCCAGTTTGGACTGTCCAGGCTGGGAGGGGGCTGGGTAGGAGCTTCAGAGTGGCCAGGGGTCACTATGTGAGCCTCACAGTTCATTGTCATGATAGAGCAATGGGCTGCCCACCCAGGGTGGCCTCCCCAACTCTGCAGGGCACCAGCAGATAGGGTGCAGGACAGCTCCATGGGCCTCACAGCATCTTGGGGGCTGGCCAGTTGGTCTCTGTGGGGACATTTGGAGCTGCAGTGCCCCAGTGTCCTCTGGGGCCAGGTGTGGGGTGGGATCCCGGCTTCCTCAGATGCTACAGAGCAGTAAACCACACTATGGTCTGTGAGGCTTCTGGAAACACATTGCCAGTCCACAGCCTGCATGGAGCATGCTCTCAACAGCTGACTGAGGCTCTGGACACCCTGCCCCCGTCTGGGGGGTGACAGAGCTGGTGGCTCAGACTGTGAGGGGGAACCATGCCCCCATGTCAGGTGGCTTTAACATTTAATTAAATCAATCACATTTAATTAAAATTGAAGGTTTGGTTCCTTGGGCTGTCCACTGACTCTGGCCACTGTGGCCAGATGAGACCCAAGGGTGGCATGGATGTAGGACAGTTCCTCATCCAGAAAGCTCCACCACATAATGTTGAAGCAAAGCCTCATGAAGTCGTCCTTGGCGTGGATGGCAGTGAGAACTCACTCCTTGGTGACCCATGTTGAGGGGCCACCCTGTCCCCAGAACTCTCCCCAGATTTGCCCTCCCCTCCTCTGTCTCCTGTCAGTAGACAGGTTCCCAATTGCCCTGTCATCTCTTCTCATTCAGGATGAGGACCCACCAGGGCTCATCTCAGCACCCTGCTGGCCAGGCCCTTGCAGACACTTGCTCTCCCATCCTGAGCGCTATTCACAGGGCTGCCTCTGACACTGGTTAAGCCCTAAGTGACAAAAAGCTGCAGAAGGCAGCAGGCAGCCAGCACCTCACAGAGGTCAGGCTGGAGTGAGTTTTGCTGCCAAACTGGTGGGTGCTGTTTGCTTTTCACCTGTTCAGATTTCAGGGCTGCGGTCAAAGAGATGTGGACTTGTGCTGTCTTTGTGGCAGGAAGGGCTGGGGGCAGGGTGTAGACCACCACAGGCAGGAGGTGGTACTGTGGGCTGGCTGGTGGGTGAGGTTTGAGGTTTAGGGTTTGAGCTTGGGAGGCCCAGCCTGCACCCCTCACCTGTGTCTCCCCCCTGTAGACTTAAGTGCAGCCACTGCCCGTGGGCCTGGTCTTCAGCCCATGTGCTCATCCTTTTTCACCTGTGGTGGGACCAGGACAGCCGCCGGGGGCTGGTGAAGATGCGTGTCTGGGGCCAGCAGTGTCGCCTGTGTCCCTCATCCCATGGAGACTGTGAGGTGAGTCCCCTCAATGTCCATATCTTTCTCAGCAAGCTGGTCCTCTACATACTTCGGAGATGCTATGGGGACAGCCTCAGCCCAGGCCAATGCCCTAAGATCTGCTTTGGGCACTGCTGTGAAGCCTGTGATCTGGGGATCTGCTTCCTCCAGCAGTCCGCAGACCCCGCCTCGGGGATGGTGGCCAGAAGCCCTGATGCTGTGGAAGGCAGCCACCTCCCTCTAGCCACCTTCGGCAGCAACAGCTCTGTCCCCGGGGGCACAGCACCGCCCATCCTCAGCAGCAGCTCCACAGCCAAGTGCACCAGGGGCCATGACTCCAACCTAGTCACGATCTCCCTCTCTGTGTGTGAGTTCATTGAGAGCCCCCTCTCTGAGAGCCACAACTTCCTCAGTGAGGGCGACAGCATTGTTACTATCCCTTTCTCCCTTGTGGACATGAACATGGTCAAGGGGCCCATTGCTGATGGCTGTGCCTCCCTGGGGGGCAGCTCCCTTGGGCCCCAATTCTTTGGCAAGGGCTCCATCCACCTATCTGGGACAGCCACGGCCAAACCCAAGGGCAAAGGCATCCTGGTGAACATCAGAGACCCCATCTTCCAGGGAAAAGGTCTTCTCCGTGACGTCAAGAAAACCTTTGAGCTCCAAGGCTTCCTCTTCAAGGCCCGGGGGGCCTCATCTAGCCCTGTTGGGGTGGCCAAAGGTCAAGGTCCTATCTCCTGTAGCAGCAGCCTCAGGGGTCTATGGAGAGCCCCACTGACAGGGCCGTACATTGTTGGCCTCAGGCCTGATGGGGAGGGCTCCCTCACCTTCTCCCTATCCCTCGCCAGGGCTATTGGAGGCAAGGATGCCTTTGCCAGCCTCACTGAGGACAAAGGGAAGGAAGGTGGCCTCCAGGGCCTTGCTGCCCATGGAAACAGCACCCTCCCAGAGGTTGATGCTGACAGCTCCACTTCCAATGAGGACGCAGTCACATTCCCCTTCACTTTCACTGAGGATGAGGACAGCTTTGCTGATGCTGTGGAAGTCAACATGAAGGAAGGTGGCTATCAGGGCTTTTTCACCACTAGTCCCGAGCACTGTTCAAAGGCCAGTGTCAGTGGCCTCACTTTTGGGGATAAGGGCTCCCTGGCCACCTCCTCCTCTCCTGGTGCCATTAAAGACAGAGACTCTTCTAGTGATATTGACAAAGACAGAGAAAGGAAAGATGGTGGCCAAGGAACTACCAGCCAGGAGCCCTGCCCACAGGCAAGTGTGGATGGCTCCGTCTGCATCAGTGAGGGCTCCATCACCATCCCCTTCTCAATCTTTGACATCATAATTCGAAAGAGCCCCAGTTGCAGTGCCAATGAGTCCCAAAGCAATGGTTTTGTGACCTATGGCTATTACAAGAAGTGGTGGCCAAGGTCCAGGTTTGGTAAGTCCAAGTGTGGGTGCTGCCAAGAGGAGGACTTTTGTTCTGGTCACACCTGCCGAAGGCCACGAGCTGAGCCCTACGAAGACCTCTGGATCTGGGTGTCTGTGAGCGTTTGCATCTTCTGGTTGATGTGCATGTGCAGACTGGAGGCTAGCATCTTCCCTCAGCAAGCCTGATGCCCCACCCATGTATGCTCTCTGCCTCCCTAGCAGGTTTCCATGCGCAAAGCCACCTCTAAGAACCCTAGCCTTCCAGCAAGCCCCAGCCCCCTCCTCCCTTCTTGCTGCCATTGGTGGCTTTGTGTTTGTTGTGAGTGTTCTTTGAGCTGTCATGTGTGTTCCAAGAGCTTTTGTGTGTGTGTTTAAGTCCAATAAAATAACCAAATTAGCTGCACAGCCCTCTATCTAAGATGATTGAAGCCAGTACCTCCAAGGTTTTGAGGTGGGAAGTGGGTGGTGGCTTATCCTCTCCTCAGTCCCACTCAGTCCCTGTCTTCCCCCACCCCCATGGCCTATACTTCTTCCCTAGAAGAGCTTCCCCCTGGAGAGTTCTGAATTCCTGGCCATGTTGTGTCTCCCGTGATGTGCAAATTAACCTCATTTCTGTGTTGACCCACAGAGGGTATCAGGAGTAGACTACTTCTCCCTCTCTGGGAGAGGTTAACACCCCAAGCTGAGATGTTGGTAAGCCTGCTCTACCCTGCTTTCTGGGATTCAGAGAGGCCTCTCAATGCAGAGGACACACTTTAGAAGGGCCCAGTCTCCCTTTCCAAGGAGCAAGGTTATGGGAAACGTGAGGTCCAAGCCAGTGGGGGCTTGACAGCAGCCTGTCCTTTCTCTTCCAGGGTGGGCTGGCTTTCGAGGCTCTGGGGAGGGTGGGAACTCCCTGAGAGATACTGGACCTGATGTGTGGGAGACTTGGGAAGACTTGCACCATGGAAAGGGAAACCTCTGTTCAGGGCCTTTTGTCCAGAGCAGGGGAGTCTCTTCTGCCTGACGGGCTGACCAGGACTTGGCAGGTTGGACGGGGGTGTTTGGGGGAGAGGGTGCTCTGGGGGAACCGTGTGTCTGGCTCAGATGGAGATAGAGGGGCTTCAAGATATAGTTCCAGAGTCTCTTGCTTGACCTGGCATAACTTCATATTGGGCACTGAGGGAGAAACCTGAGGCCTGGAAGGCTGCATTCCTTATGGAAACTGGGCGTGCACTGGGCAGACAGCTTGGAAGATCACAAGGCTGTAGGTCCCCAGGAAAGAGCCCCAATCCCAGCCCCATGCTAACCGCACTGAGTGACAGGAGCCCCAGGCACAAGCTGTCCTCCTTCTGGGGTAGGTGTGGGAATCTGCCCTGGGCCAGGGTCCTGGTGGGTGGAGACTGGGGCCTGCTTTTTGGCCTCCTCAGGCAGACAGCAGTGCACCATGGTGGGCCCGGGGCCTGGGCCTGGGCCTGAAGGAGGCATCCGGAACAACATCGACTCCACCCCCTCCCGTAGCCTACCAGGCCCCCACTGGCCACAAACGGAGTGGGGCCCACATCCACCTGGGCCTAAAATGTGGCCACCATTGGTGGTCCTTAAATAGGAAGAGGAAAAGCAGCCCCCTCCCCCGCAAGTGGCACTTGCTGGTGCTGCCTGCCTGGGTTTTCCAGGGTGAGCCCCCTAGCTATGCCTCTCTAGCTCCCAGACAGCCTCCAGTCCCTGGGCAAGCACGTCACACCCCGGCAGGACCCTCTGCCGGCGGCCTGGGGTGGGCAGCTTCAGCAGGACTTCCCGAGACCCTGTCCCACTTTCAGTGGGCTGCGAGGGGTAGCGCGCACCCGCCTACTCGCGGGCCTAACGGTGCTGGTGATGGAGCCACAGCTGAAGGCCTCTGCCTTCCCAGAGGATCCCCTCACTTTTGCACTCTGGTCCCAGGGCTGCCCCACCTCCGGCTCCGCACCCCTAGCCGCCCCTGTCCGGCCCCAGCCCCCACCCCCGCCTCGCCCCTCCTCTCTCTTTTCTCTACCCTTTTCCCCGGCCCTCCAGCCTTGCCTCGCAGTCTTCGCTCCCGACCTGGCGCCTACGCTGGAGCTGTCCTGCTGCGCCCCCGTGTGGCCCAGGGACCGGGATGCTCCAGCCATGGGGCCACCGAACCGTCGCTCTGTGAACTCAGAGGGCTTGTTAAAGCCTGACTCACTCTCACCTGTTATCGGCATCCTCCACATTAGTTTTCATTAATAATTAAACGTCGCTAATATAATAAAAGTGAGAGCTAAAGCAAGGTGTGCTCTTGATCTGGGGCAGATGGGGTGAATGCATGAGAGCCATGCTGAGTCATCAAGGTGGGAAAATTTAGGCACAGAAACTAGTTAAAAAGCTTAGAGCACGCTTGGGGATCAGATCCTGGAGAGCACACACCTGGGCTGAAGCCTGCGTCCACACCTGGGCCCACACTTTAGCTCTCAGTGAGCCCATACCTGAGTCTACACCTGGGCCCACACCTGAGCCCACCCCTCATCCCAGCCCACAACTGCGCTTTCCTCTGAGCCTCTTGTATGGCCTAAATCAGGCGTCCTCAAACTACTCGAGCCACATGTGGCCAGCCTAGGACATTTATCTGACCCACCGGGTGTTTTTGCCGCCACTACCTGTCCTGCCTAGCTGCCAATTCGTCCTGGGGCCGCAGTCAGGCCCTCCAACCATCTGAGGGACAGTGAACTGGCCCCTTGTTTAAAAAATTTGAGGACCCCTGGCCTAAATGGTTAGGTTGGACCCAATTAATTGAGGCAGCAATAACTACTTTTGACAACTGAATTTATGGTAGAGATTTTTTTTTTTTATTATTGAATGGTAACTGTGTACATTAATGCACTTCTGGGGTACAGTGTGGAGTTTTCCCGAAACACTTCCATCAAACTGGTTAACATAGCCTTCATGTCATTTTCTTAGTTATTGTGTTAAAACGTTC